ATCCAATAACAAAAGAAAAAATGAATATACGAACTACAGTGCACAGTATATTATATACATATTTTATTTGCGATCATAAAATGTACGAAGTCGTCCATTACTATGTAAATTGGGTCGATTTAAAAAAAAAAGCTGAATACGTTTCTGTTGTCAAATGTTTTTCACAAGTATAGTAGTTAGCAGAAAAGTTCACCAAACTATACATTTTACCTATTCAATAACGTAAATGCAAATTTCACAAGGCTTGATCCAAATAGCTTTTTTACTGTCTAATAACTTGCAAGTACGAACAAGACAGGACAGAAGTATATTTTGTCTATATGTTTTGTATTTGTACACTTTTAAAGTTGATCATGCATTCGTTCTAAAATAAAATTTTGACCAGATAAAAGTTAAAAGATGACATAATTGGACAACCGCAATTGTTAAATCGCTTTGACGTCCGAAAAAAGATAATAATCAACACATGCATTGTAACTTTTAAAGCCAGTTAAATCCTTTTTTTGCTGAAAGAACGTGCGATATCATAAAAATTGATTATCAAAACATAACAAAAACACAAGTAAAGAACGTTTAAGTAGTCAATATAAATCAAAACACAAAGGTTATTCCTGATTAGTTTTTCGAATTATTTTATTTAGGCGTTGAGACCCTTTGGTGACCCCACAGTTTAAATGTCTACATCGTGAGCAGTGGGCGTTACAGACGAACGTTCACCTAATCTGACCCAGTCAATGGGATATTTTAGCGCGCCAATCAATGGTCTCGTCTACGCTGTTATGCACATGATTCTAGGTCAAAGTACGGTCTTCAACACGGAGCCTTGGCTCACACCGAACAGCAAGCTATAAGGGGCCCCAAAATTACTAGTGTAAAACCATTCAAACGGGAAAACCAACGTCTAATCTATATAAACTAGAGGCTCTCAAGAGCCTGTGTCGCTCACCTGATTCTACTTTGGTTTTGGAAATCATGTAAAAATAGATTAAAATCATAACAGATACCCTAATAATGAGTGAGGCCAAATTTGGTTTAATATTGGTCCTGTAATTTAATAAAAAATCCTGGTGGCCATCTTGAACAGTAAATCGGCAACAAAGAAACAACACTTAATATGCACCTCATAAGAAACATTTATGCCATGTTTTGGTTTCATTCCATTCAGTGCACCTCTAGAAGAAGCATTTGTATGTATTTCCCATAGGGTCTTATTTTAAAGGAAGTCCCCCCATTGGCGGCCATCATGGATAAGGATCAGCTTCAAAGTAACAAAACTTAGTCAGCACCTCATAAGGAACATTCATGCCATGTTTGGTTTCAATCCATTCAGTATGTGGTTCTCTAAAAGAAGACATTTGTATGTATTGTCCATAGGGTCCTTTGTTAAACATTGTCCCCATTTGGCAGCCATCATGGATGAAGGATCAGCTTCAAAGTAACAACACTTGGTCAGCACCTCAAAAGGAACATGCATGCCATGTTTGGTTTCATTCCATTCAATGGTTCTCTAAAAGAAAACATTTGTACGTATTTCTCATAGGGTCCTATGTTAAACTAAGTCCTCCGCTGGCGGCCATCTTAGATTATGGATCGGCTTCATAGTAACAACACTTGGTCAGCACCTCATAAGGAACATTCATGCTATGTTTGGTTTCATTGCATTCAGTGGTTCTCTAAAAGAAGACATTTGTATGTATTTCCCATAGGATCCTATGTTAAACTAAGTCCCCCGCTGGCTGCCATCTTGGATGATGGATCGGCTTCATAGTAACAACACTTGGTCAGCACCTCATAAGGAACATTCATGCTATGTTTTGTTTCATTGCATTCAGTGGTTCTCATAAAGAAGACATTTGTATGTATTTCCCATAGGGTCGTATGTTAAACTAAGTCCCCCTCTGGCTGCCATCTTGGATGATGGATCAGCTTCAAAGTAACAACACTTGGTCAGCACCTCATAAGGACCATTCTTGCCATGTTTGGTTTCATTCCATTCAGTGGTTCTCTAAAAGAAGACGTTTGTATGTATTTCCCATAGGGTCCTATGTTAAACTAAGTCCCCCGCTGGCAGCCATCTTGGATTATGGATCGGCTTCAAAGTAACAACACTCGGTCAGCACCTCATAAGGAACATTCATGCCATGTTTGGTTTCATTCCATTCAGTGGTTCTCTAAAAGAAGACATTTGTATGTATTTCTCATAGGGTCCCATGTTAAACTAAGTCCCCTGCAGGCGGCCATCTTGGATTATGGATCAGCTTCAAAGTAACAACACTCGGTCAGCACCTCATAAGAAACATTCATGCCATGTTTGGTTTCATTCCATTCAGTGGTTCTCTAAAAGAAGACATTTGTATGTATTTCCCATAGGGTCCTATGTTAAACTAAGTCCCCCGCTGGCGGCCATCTTGGATGATGGATCCGCTACAAAGTAACAACACTTGGTCAGCACCTCATAAGGAACATGCATGCCATGTTTGGTTTCATTCCATTCAGTGGTTCTCTAGAAGAAGTTCAAAATGTAAAAAGTTAACGCCGACGACGGACGACGCCGGACGACGACGGACGACGCCGGACGACGGACGCCAAGTGATGAGAAAAGCTCACTTGGCCCTTCGGGCCAGGTGAGCTAAAAACGAGAAACGAGAAACACTTATGAACCACATCAACAAACGACAACTACTGAACATCAGATTCCTGACTTGTATGTTCTTGCACATAGTGACTACGCATCCAATTTTCATTACATTTTTTCAAGAACTACATTTAAAAGCTTCCTAATATTTGTTATCAGGCTTCATGTGAAGACGCCAAACTATGTGATGCATTTTAACATTCGGCCCTCATCACCTTCATGCTTACCAATACTTATCTACTCTTGTACAAAATGATCAAGTATGAAATATTCTCAGGAATCACGAATCAGAGAGCCCTGTAATTTGGTATCAACATTCAAACGTATGTTAAAAAAAAGATGTGGTATGATAGCCAATGAGACAACTATCTACCAGAGACTAAATGACGTAGTTATAAGCAATTTTGGGTCACCGTACGGTCTTTAACAATGAGCAAACCTCATACAACATAGTATACTATAAAGGCTTTGACATTTATCCGAACGAAAAAACATCGGCCTTATTTATGTATAAAACAAAAATCACCGTTCAAATTAGGATGCGATATCCTGTTTGTAATAAGTTTTCTACAGATACAGCCAAACTTACAAACCATGATATATGTGCATGCTATACCTTGTGATGCCTTTCCAGATCCACTGCTTTTCAATTTCTTATTTACCAAATACTTATAGCGGGGGTATCATTTATTTAGTGAGCAATTCAAGCTCGCATTTCAACTTCAAACATGTATATTAAAGTGTGTTCTATAATCTAGACTAGGCTGTACTTCGATTTGATGAATAGTATTACTATGATAATGTCATGTGTCAGAATAGTTCTACCAAGTATCAATTAGAAGCATATGGAACAATCGAAAGTAATAATGGATGCAAATAGAAAGATACAAAATCAATAATCATTTCATTGTTAGAAATTACGTAAACAATCAAAACTTAAATTACTTTTATATCCCCACGTATCAATACTGCCTCTTCGTATATTATGAAAAGAAATTCTAACAAGGGGCGTTTGTTTACGTGTTAATCGGTATTGTCATATTAAATCATTGTAGATATGCAGAAGTATTCCACAGAGAAAGCAATCCATTACATAACGCCGGAAAATCATTGGTGCAATGTGAATGTAGAAAGACATTAAAATTGTGTTTCTAATTTATTTATGTCCGACAATTTACGTACATTTTATGACATTTTAGAATATATGATTAATCTTTAAAAAAAACGTCTAAAAGGCTACAGTCAGAAATCTGTTATCAATTGGTGATTTCAACAGGGTTAATCGTTTATCAGATGAAAATATGTATAATATTATATGAACATAATAAAGTGTTATATGCTGGAGGTTACATAAGGTGAATAGATGCCCTCGCTAATGCCAATGGACTTTCAGCATACATCAGTCAATCAATCATTTAAATTCTGATTCTCTTAGATTTTCAGTATTATTTCTTTTATCTACATGTGCATCCACGTTGATGGCGTTGAATAAAAAGAGAAATCACTGCTATGATATGTCTATGCATAATACATACAAAAAGGATATCCGCTGAACCGGTTCTAGGAGCCATGTTAATCTTGCAGTGAGGTGAGAGTTTTTTTGTGGTTTTTTTTTTATCCGTGTTGAAGACCTCACTGTGACTTTGAGATAAAGAACAGCAATGAAAGTGCTGTTCCTTTGCTTTTTGTGTGTGTGTTTTTTTGTTTTTTTTTTTTGCTGTGCATGTACTGATTGTGTGTCATGGATGATACCCCATATCATTGGTTTTCTATTATATCAAGTCTGTGAGCTGTTTTTAGGCTTTTAGCTCGCTGAATTTGCTGTAAATATTTTAAATACATGCTAACTACTACTTTTATTTACATTACTAGCTACCAATGCTTTTCAAACTATGTTGTTTATCCGAGAATAAGTCCAGCCTTTTAACTTACAACAAAAATAAGGATCGGCAGGAGTACAAGTGTCCTATCATTTATATTCTGGTGACACGTTATGACATTAGTGATGCTTGTTCAAAATTGTCCGATAATTTATATGAACTTAATGTGAAGACGAGGAACATCTAATACTTAAGGTCAAGTAAACAGATTGATTGAATGTGGTTTACTAGCATCCAGTGGCAAATATTTCATGCATATTCAGGACAATGATAAATTTAACAATAAACTTAATATGTATGCAAGATAAAAATAATTTGAAAAGGATGAAAGATGAGCAATGTTGACCACTTACAGACAACTTTTGCAAGGGTTTTTAACGTATAGGGAGCATGTCACTCTCGCCACACGAGTCGTTGTATTTCAGTCCCCAATCCGACTGGACCAGTGCGACAGTCAACAAATAAATAAAAAGGGTATAACTAACCTGATTCGTTTTTCTTCTGCCTTTTGCATTTCCTTTGCTCTGCCTATCACTGATCGTATTTGAGATATTTCCTCTTCTGTTAAGTTACTAAGATCCGGTTCAGGTGGTTCCACTGGGGATGGCAGTCTGGTGGACGACACGGAAGCCCGTCTTTTAGATCCAAATGAAACAACCGATTCTTGAATATCGGATGTTGGCGTTGTAACATCCGACGGTATACTGCTAGTTTCATTTCCCATTATTTTGTCAGAAATAAGGAATGTAGGAGTGGAACTATACCATAATATAACACAAACTAATAATACTGTCACCTGAAGAGAGGTTAAGCTAAGGGCGAGGTATTCCGAAAGGAAGACCAAGATATTGCACGTGAGTGATATTAGGTTTGTTGTAACAAATCCCGAAACGTAAACACTGAGAACACATGACACTGACATTTGAGATGAAAGAACAAAATTTGATTGAAAAATAACAATTTCAGTGTAAATATCTTGTTTCTTTACTCGGAATTCATGTATGGTAGGAACGTCTGCTGGTTATCGTAATTTTCCGAATGAAATAAACTATTCCAACCCATATTCAGCTAAACACACAATAATCATAATTATTAACTACTATTTCAAACATTATGATCATTTGAAACAATTTTGAAAGTATAACATTTTCCTATTTAATATAATGATCCAATTTTAAACGAGACAAGCGTGAATAACCACATACACCACCATTAAAGCACAACATCGTCTGAAAATGGCATCAACTAATATTTTCTGCAGAAATTGGTTTTCTATGTCCAAATCCTATCAGACTTTAGAATTCTATTGATTTTCTGCTTGGAATTCTCAAGCCATCTTTGTCGAGTTGTTTGGGAATTGATCTGTTCATTAAAATTTGACATGCGCAGCCGAAGACTATCAGTAATATCATTACAAAACGGCAATGTCAATAGAATCGGTTTGATTAACTATTATAACGTTGTAAACCATTACGACATTACTTATTCTTCTTTTCCAAAACAAGAATAGTCAATTGCATGCAAAATCAATATAATATCATTCGCTACAAAGTTCATTGTTAGATACAAATGCTTTACTTATCGAACATTCATCGACCGCCATGTTGCTTTTTCACATGTTCAATATTGTAGTTCCTTTATACAGGTAAAGCTTCCATTAATAATTAATGAAATTAATCACGGCTTCACATTTAACAATTGAAATCTTAAACCAAATATTGACAATGAATGCCTTTAATTCATATTTTTCATTTTAATATTAATTTCTAATTACGAATTTGTTTGTAAAATAAGTTCAATATTCTCACTTATAGTTTCATTATCACTTCTTCTGATCGCAAAGTCAGAAATTGTTACTTAATATTACAAGATGAAGACTCTTAGATTGGTGGTCATTGATTTCCGATAATCGAAGTCACAAAAGCTATCGCTTTAATCAATGTACGATCGTCGGCCAAGTACTTATTTCATTGTCCTTTTCTCGCGAGAATGATCGTTGTCTTGTTCAGTCAAAAGGTAAAAAGAATTAAGACAATTGTTTAGGACAAATTGAAGGAGGATCGTTCTAAACTTGATATTTTAACATGAATTAAGACCTCACTCTCGGCGGGGTTATCTAATAAGTAAAGAAAAAACTGAAACTAAACGTACAAAAAGAAAAATGGAGAATACAATAATCTACTTACCAAAAGACGACCGTCAATATCAGCTCAGTAAGATGTGTATTGCTACTTGAATTAAATAATTGGTAGAGCACGTACAAATCATTTACGGCTTAATAGATCCTGTAAAGAATAATAATATGAACATCCTTAAAGCAAGACTAATTATCAATCACCAGTTTCTTATTTGTGGGGGAGTCCATGTCAGTTTCATGTTATTTTTTATCCAGATTAATTAATTAAAATCAATTGTTGATGGATGGTCTTTTGTTTCGTTATAAGGTGGATAGTTCATAAATAAATAGTATATGTACCAGTGTGTATAGTCTAAGTGTTGTTATGCGTTTACTTTTCTACATTGGCTAGAGGTATAGGGGGAGGGTTGAGATCTCATAAACATGTTTAACCCCGCCGCATTTTTGCGCCTGTCCCAAGTCAGGAGCCTCTAGCCTTTGTTAGTCTTGTATTATTTTTAATTTTAGTTTCTTGTGTACAATTTGGAGTTTAGTATGGCGTTCATTATCACTGAACTAGTATATATATTTGTTTAGGGGCCAGCTGAAGGACGCCTCCGGGTGCGGGAATTTCTCGCTGCATTGAAGACCTGTTGGTGACCTTCTGCTGTTGTCTGTTCTATGGTCGGGTTGTTGTCTCTTTGGCACATTCCCCATTTCCATTCTCAATTTTAAGATTCATTAAAAATCTAATTACTTTGTTATTTTGATCTTCTTATACAATTAAGGTTTATTTACAACACATACGAATGGATACACAGATGGTTAATACAACGGGAAAGGACAATAACAAAAAGGATGAACTTAAATTATTAATAATTAATCGATTTCATTAATCTTATACATGTATACGATTATGTCTGTAGGCACAACACTACAATACAATTCAATTAAATATTTATCTACCTGTCTTTGAAATACTCTACGTTGACAATTATTGAAATAAATATTTGACATTGATTATTCTAAAGCTATTTCGAAATGTTCAGACACATGGATATAGATTCTTTGATATATCATATCAATCAGAGAAACACGATGTAGAGCGGAAAATTCACAATGGGAAAATAGCGTATTACCTGTTTTACAAGTTGTGAATGATAAAAAAAAATTTCTTTTTGCCGATTTCTATTTTTTAATAAGTGTTATAACGCCTCTTAATCGCTTAACTTGTCACAAATCCACAGTTCAAGCCTAAATATTACTACCCGTTCGTAAAAACAACTTTTTCAGATGACCCGTGCATTATAGCCATTGTATCACCCTCTTTTATGCCTGCCATCATATTCATATTACACATCAATGCAATGTATTTCAAAGATATTTTTTTAAATGGACGTATTAAATACATAGAACACGTAATGTCAAGAAACTTCCATTTAACAATATGTATTTGTCAATGTTTTTCTTTGCTCTTCTTCTGTTTCGGTTCGGATACAGAAAAGGTAAATCCAGAGAAGCGCTTCGAAATTTAAGTGCAAAAGCTGATGCATGAGAAAAAAACGCCCTGTAGAATGGTAATTTCTGGAATCAATTGACAACTTTAAAGCATGTCCCTTAAGAATGTATCAGGTGGATTAAGTTCTTCTTGGCCAATTTATTTAAGGGCATACGATACAGTTTTGATCCCATAATGAAAATTTGATGAAAATTTGCAAATAGGCTATTTTTTACCTGATTAAATCAAATATGTAATAAAAAATATACCTTCATGTGCTACTTTTTGAGTAAAATGAGTTAGAAATTTCTGATATTTGCTCAAAATTCGGATTTGTGGACGTATTTTTCCTTCCGACAGAAATGCATAACTTTTTTTTTTTTAAAAGATAAACACAAGCTGTTTTTTGTTAAACTATTTGTAATTTCTGTTTTATATAAGTATCCTATAAATTTATGAAATCTTTTGTTTAGAAATAACTCAAATTCATCAAATGTTCATGAATGTAGAAAAAAAACGTCATTTTTTGCTGTATATTTATCAAATTTTAAAAAATTGCATTATTGACTTTTTCATGAAAATTGGTACAAATAATCTTCATACGTAATCAAACCGAATTTCATTTTAAAAAACAGAGGTCCATGAACTCGTTTTCAAGTTAAATCAGTTTGAATGATAAAAATCAGTCGAAAAATACATCTTTTCTCGATATGTCACAGTTTGACGTCGCCAAAATAACATTTTACGTTAGTAACGTCATTACCTCCCCTGTAACTGTATCGTATGCCCTTAAGAAGATAAGATTTTTGAAAATGTTATACAATGGACGCGCGGCGGAAATGGACGCTTGCATTTGACCATACGCCCAAACCAGCTGAATTCATTGTTTGCTTTAATAATTCGTTTTATATACATTGATTTAAATTACCATCTAATAGAAAGCAACAAAACTGAAAATCCTGCATCATATTTTTCCATTCTCTTATCTAAAGAGAATTTATGATTAATTATAAAGTTCATTTTCTAGTTCGTTAAAAAGATTTTAGTCTCTACAACCAGAGAACTAAAAACTAAAAGTATGCGATCGAAAGAGATGATAAATGCTAAGTATATAATTATGCACATATAACAGATGACATTGTAAATTGTAGTAGGTATCTAGGACCAGACTTACATGAAATTTTTACTTGAACGCCAAGGTAAGTATAACACTAATTTTCACAAAGAAATTAGGGAGCTACCATTTGATTTTTATGGGGGGGGGGGGGGGGGGGGGGGGTTAGGATGAAAAATTTTGTCCTGCCTATTTATTTTTCCCTCTATTCGGTCCTGCCTTTTTATTTTTCACTCTATCCGGTCCTGCCTTTTATTTTAGTTTATCCTGACTTTTTTTTACATAAATTGTCATCCAGCCTTTTTTTTTGCAAATAGTCTCATCCTGCCTTTTTTTTACTCAAAACTCCTGTCCTGCCTATTTTTTTCAAATTTCATCCTAGCCCCCCCCCCCCCCCCCCCCCCCCCCCCATAAAAATCAAATCAAATGGTAGCTCCCTTAAGAAGATACCTATGGGACAATGAAATCAGGAATCATGTCTCAAGGAAAGACAGACAACACAATTTGTAGATAAATAAAAAAAATCTTACCACACTAAAAACCTTGGGTGAATTGAAACGCTCCAGAAGGAGGGAGCAGTAACTTCTGCTCCACTTATGTTACCCTGTGTTAGGTAACGACAAGTCATATAGTTTATGATAAGGCTTCATACTATAGTAAGTTGGTAGAAGTCTTTTGTTTTACTCTTACACATTGCAGTATGTATTACAATGTTACAATTGGTACTTAAAATTTTTCTAACCTTAAATTAGTATTGGACTAATACATGAAAGAATGTAAATAAATAAAGAATAGAGAAAGACAGTTCAAAAAATAAAGAATAGAGAAAGACAGTTCAAAAAATAAAGAATAGAGAAAGACAGTTCAAAAAATAAATAAAGAATAGAGAAAGACGGTTAAAAAAAAAAGAATAGAGAACAAAGGGGTACTAAAATATAAAGAATAGAAAATAACGGGCATAAACATTAAAGAACAGAGGGAAATGGTCTTGGAAATTAAGAATACAGAAGTAGAGGACCCCAATCCAGACCCTCATAAGTCATAAACGAGAAAAGAAGAGATGGGTTATGGTTTTGACTAATGACACTTTTTACGTATATACTTTATTATTGTAGGTTTCTTTTCTGTTGTCTAAAATAATGTCTAATATTGTACTTTGTGGGTCCATTAAGTGAAAATAAGACATCATCTTTTTCTTCTTCTTCATATGATTCACAACATTTAACCACGTCAAACTGGTGTAAGGAAAACTTTCAAAGAGAAGACTTCAACTTAATATTAAACATAATAATTAGGATTTTCAATAAGTACACGGCTCTTTTACAGATATAAAGGATGGGTAATAGTAAAGTCATAAATTGGCTTATGGAGGTACTTGAAAGTTAATTTGTCGGTTTTCCCTGACTACAATGGATGTGAACAGCTATTAATAGGTCAGAATTCATTTGTTTTATACAGTATGATGACATCGATTCTATGATCTTATAATTGCTGACAAAAATCTGCAAAAAAACGAGTAATTGGAACAAGAAACTTTGTGGCAATAGATGGAAACTATAAGATAATTTATTTAAAGGTTTTATGTGAAACACAGATTTTTTGTCGACATGTACTTTTTATAATAGATTATGTAGTTGTTTCAACCGAAAAAGCCTCAAACAAACTTACTATGTCGTCAAAGTTGCCGAAGACAGTATTTTGACCTATATATAATATTGCTGGTTTCATTTTATAATGGAGTTCCTGTTTGATTGACGCACGCGTCACATTAGCTACATGAGGCAAAACTTTTCGAAATTTTGGGTCCTAAATGCTCTTTAACCTCGGTCTTTATATGGCCTTTTAACTTTTTCGATTCTAGCGTCACTAATTAAAATTA